AATTATTATTATTATTATTATTATTATTATTATTATTATTATTATTCCTGGCAGGATTGGCTTTGAGGTCCAGCTGCCTACCTAGGACTGGGCCAGAAGCCACAGGAAGGAAACAAGAAGCAAAGAAACCTCTTCACCCAGAGTAAACAAGGCCAGCAAAACTAAATTATTCAGTAAAAAGTTACTGGGAAACTAATTGCCATGCTCAGAGTTCTCCTGCAGAGAAAGGGCTGATGGACAAGAAATTTATGTTTTTAAAAGCTATGCCGAATGTGCAGAAATGATGATATGAGCTTGTGCATAAGTAGATAATTAATTTTTAATATTTGAGCTCCTTTTTGTGCAAATATGCATGCTTCCAGGCAATAAATTAAAGCAAACAAACAAGCATAGCAGAAATTTAAGCTGCAACTGCAGGGGTATAAATTGTAAAAATGCACTTCTTTTTAACGCTTCCCCATTCTCCTGCACTGACAGTGTTATGTATCGGTGTCTGTTGTAAGCACAACGGGTAGCGTGTTGTACTCAATGCATCTGTCTGAACAGAAACCACAGTTTGAAGACCTATTGCCCCTTTGATGCCTCACCCATCCAAGAGGGTCCAGTGGAGAGCCTGCTCCTGGCGCTTTTAATCTCTGCAAGAGATTTATGACACCCACCTTTCCAGACTGATCATCTAAATGGTTTTCTGTCATCGGAGCTGGCTGTCCTGCCAATGTCACGGTTATGATTACTGCTTGGAATGAGGCAGTCTAAGCTATCAGCACCACATTGTCCCACTGAGTCAGCTCCTTGAGATGCTGAAGACCTAAAAGTGTTGCAATGGTTATGATACCAGTGGTGAAAAACGTACAGTGCCTACAACTGAGTCCAAATGAGACAACTCTGACGATGATGATGGAGGTGAAGAAATCCAATGTTTTCTCAGGATTGTTTCTGCACAATATTAGTCAACGGAGCTATTCCAAAGCTATTAAATGTCATGTTTGTTACATGTATTTATTATTAGATGTTGAGATACAGATTTTGATTGGACACTAACCTGATGTAATGTAATCACATGTAGGATGGGATACATGTACATGTTTTAGAATTTATGTACTTAAAATGTTTGTGGGCTGTCTCTTCCTTTCCACTCTTCTTGGATTTGTCTTCAGCAGCTGGAGGCATATTTATTGCAAATAGCCAACAAGCGTACAACACTCACTAGGGCTGATGCAAGGCAATGCAGGAGTGTAAGGGAAGCAGGCAGGGGATTCTGGTCTGCTAAATTGTAGCTCTCCAGGGTAAAACGTGTCACCCCATGAACTGAGGTTGTATGCTCAATCTCATCCTTGAGCAGGGAAGGCAAAGCCTGAATGATTCGATGATACTCGGTTTTCATTTCTATCTCATTTTCCTCGTAAGGCAAACTATTTCCCAAAATTGAGGAAGAAGGACACCTGAGCCCCCCACCCCTGGAAAATCCCTGCTTAGTTGGATCAACTGAGAATAAATTCCTCTGGAGTCTCTGGGCCATCAACAGCAGTAGGAGAAGAAACTTGAGTCACATCCCTAAATATAGCTATAAGAAGAAGCAAAGGAAGACATTTAGCAAGTAGCAAACTCCGGCTTGGGAAAAATGTAGGACGGTTTTCAAATTAGAGTCAGTTTTGTGCTTGATTATCCATAATTAGGTTACTTCCACTTGTTAAATCTAGTGTTTTGATTTTTAAATGGAATTTGTGCACCTTTTTGTCCTTCTGAAACTCTGAATATTCGCAGTCAGAATTTTGGCATTGTAAATCTATGCATTACTCAATGGCAGTGAGACTCCTCAGAAAATATTAAAATCCAACTTGAAAAGCCTTAACTTTGGCATGAATACTTCAGTTTGGCAGATGAAGGCTTTTCCAAACTAGCCCAAAAGCTCTGACACAAAGGAGGAACCCTCTGACCTTGACCAAGATACTTGGTCCCATTTCTCTCTTCTTCTGCTAAGGATCAAGCTCAGGGACAACATGGTCCCCTAGTTCAGCCTAAATCAGCTACATGAAGCATGATTGGTTGGTTCTCTCCTGACCCTTCCCTGCAATTTTTCATCTCTTACAAATTCAACATTTCTTCAGAAAAACTTTGGTCATATCTGAGCACTCAGTTGAAATAAAGTTCATGAACTTGCTTTGTTTGTTAAAAAAAAAAAAGGCATATGACCCATCTGAAGTAAGGAAAAGTAGTTAGTCTGTCATGGAAGATTTCCTTGGGAGGAAATAGTCATCAATATCATAATTTTAAATATGTCTGACTGCAGCTAGGTCAGATCCCGTGGCGCAGGTTACAGCCTCTAGCCAATTAAAGGGAAACCAGCCAATGGGTTGTATGCATCTGTGTAATATCCTCATCTGTCCTCACCCTCCTGTTCCACCACACCAATTGGTTTGAAAAAAATATTCCATTGGTGTCAATAGAAAATGTCTTCCAAGCCTAACTGTAATATATATACCCATTGCAAGGGAACTATCTTGCAATCTTCATCCTTCCACTCCCCTCTATTGTGCTTAGAAAAAGCCTTCTATTGAAGCCAATGGAAGATCCGCCTCCCCCTCATCTTATTCCTTTGCATAGAAATAGGGATAAGTTGAAGACACCTCCCCCCCCCCACTCAACAATTCCTTAAGTCACATTTTATGCATTCCAGTAAGGCTTAGAAAAACTTTCAGCTTGGAACAAGAGCATATACCCAGGTGTCAAAAGAATTTTCTGTGAGTATGCATGCATGAAGGAAAACAGATAGGTAAAAATGGATGGCTGAGCAAATGACAGGCTAGTGGGTTATGTGAGAGAATGCATATATCATTTATGTGAATTTGTATGGATGTGTGTGAGTTTGTGTGATGTGTAATGTCTAGCCCAGTGCTTCTCAACCTTGGCAGTTTGAAGGTATATGGTCATCAACTCCCAGAATTCCCCAGCCCCCTGGCTGGGGAATTCTGGGAGTTGAAGTCCATACATCTTCAAATTGCCAAGGTTGAGGAACACTGGTTTAGCCCCTTCCCTGATAAGGTAAGATAATGTCCAGCTAGATGTTGGATGGAAAAATGGTTACCAGGACACCTGAGAAGATAAAGTACCCTGCCCTGCCCACTCTATTTACCTCTGGGTGAGTTCAGTGCTGCCCTGATATATTTAGCAGTCGGGTAGAAGTAAATGCTGAGATCAAACTTTGGATCGTCATCTGCTTCAATCCCATAGTAATCAACGGCCAGCTCTCGGTAGAATTTGGCTCCCGTATCAATGTGGAATCTCCCAGCAGCAGCATTCACAATGTGCGTGATGCCCAGTCGGCGCAGCTGCTCTATATCCCGGGCTATATACCTGCAAAGAAGGGCACTTGTGTTAATGTTATTATTATACTGCATACACTTGTCCTCACCTTGGAGAGGAGTTAAGTGTTCGTGGATACCCTAAAAGGGATCCATTGACTTAGTTAACTAAATATAGGGGTTCAAATTTAACCCCAAAGGGACCCTGGCATGCTTATTGCATTGGTTAACTGTGTTGGGGAATGAATATATATCTTTGCATATCTAGTCCTCCAGGAAAAAGAGCTAGAGAGAAAGAGTGGCAGAAACAAGCAAGCCCCTCCATTACAAAACTCATGGCTAGGGTTTGACGACATAGAACCAACCTCCCAAACACTGATTGGCTGTAACTCTTCTTCCTGCTGCTTGCCTGGCCGATGGAGAAGGGATGGTGATGTCATGAAGCTTTGCCAGGACTCTTGAACTCCTGAGCTTGTTGGATAATAAGTACTTCTTGCAGGAAGGGACTGGGAGTATTGCATTCCTCCAACCAGTACTTTGGATCCTGTTGCTGGAATCCCTGTAAGAGGATCTAACTGGGTTAAACTAGATCCTTGAATCTCTCGCTGAGGCAGGAATGCTGTTTCCAGCTCTAATATGTTTCTTACCGGATCATGCAAGCTTTAATACAGTGTTTCTCAATCTTAGCAACTTTGAGATGTGTGGACTTCAATTCCCAGAATTCCCCAGCCAGTTTCTAGGGTTGAGAAACACTGCTTAAATATAATTGTTGTTCAGGATTTACTGCTTTGTTCCTGGTTAGACTGCAGAAGGAGACAGCTGAGTTTTGTTCTGGAACAATAGGTAGTTGTTGGTCACGATGAGAACCCAGAACAACCTGTTACTCATTACGTTTGCAAATCTGGTGGGTTTCAAATAGGGGTGTCTGCAGGGAGGGGAGGGGTTCAAAAAGTTGAGACGGTAGCATGTAAAAGGAGAGCCTTTGATCAGACGGTTGCAGTTCCCCTTTTGGCTTTTTTGAACCCCTCCTGCTGATGCCCCTGGTTTCTAAGCAGTGCAGTCAAAACCTGCTAAGGTTGTTTTACCAGAGAAAATGATGAAGTCAAGGAATTCTATATGCAAACAAAAGACCATTTTGCAGACGCAAAATCACTTATTCCACTTATTGTGTAGAAATACATCTAACAACACCCTTGTGCTTTCTTTCTTTTTTTAATCCAGAAAAGCGATCAGGCACAGACAGTCTGGAGAAGAGAAGCAGGACTGGGGAATAGCGATGGCTCTGCTCGGTGATGAGAGATTTTATCCGATCCTATTGTCCCATTTTCAAGAGCTGAACAGGTTGTGCTTTAGGCATCAACTTTTTAAACAACCACTCAGCGTGGTGCCGCAGAGTCTGGGATTTTTGTATCGCTTTATTTATTGATGTATTTGCTTAAATGCTACAATCTGGTTTTCAGCTGAATGGAGTACAATAAAGTCATAATAACACTATGAACACAAACACACAAAAGCAGTAATCAAGACATGCAGTAAATGCAGCCAAAGGATTCCCACCCTTTATCCACCTGGACTGCAAAAATCTAGGTGGGGCAGGAAAGAGTTAAGAATTTCCTGCATCTACAATCACTGCTAATTAGTGATTGTTCGGCTGTTTGCAGCCCAAATCTGGTAGCCCCAAGTGAATTCATGGGAGGGGAGCCCAAGCAGAGCTGAGAAAGTGGTGGAAGCATCTGTAGAGGCTTGGAGAACTACTGTATATTCCGATGGGGCAAAATAAGACAAAACGTGGCCATTGAAGGTGGACATACTGAATAGACCCAGAATATTGGTGTCATCTGGAAACAATTACAAAAAACAGGCAGTGGATGTTGGAAGTCGGGAGGTAGATACTGGCACATCAGGAGCAAGGGTGAGGCTCCCTAACAGGAATCATGGATACAGGCAGCACCGTTAAGAGGCACCAAGGCAATGAAATTTTTTGTCATGCAATCAATCCAACTGTAATAACCTAAACTCTTAAAATCATGAAAAATCAAGCTGCCTTTCTTAATGAGGCAATAGCATTACAAGTGAAGGTCTATCACCAAAAATAAGCAATTACTAGCTCAATATAATTATACCTCTGCTGGCAGCCAAACTGAAAGCAAGTTTTCAGGGCTAGATGTTAGCCAATAGGAAAATACAGATAAATAGTGAAGTATGTTCTATGTTGTAGTCACAGCTTTTTCATGCTTATTCAAGCATCATCGTTGGGTATATGGATTATGAAAATGTAAGAAGATGGATAGGATTCTCCCTAGAGAATCATTCATGGGGCTTTAGCCAGTGGGGCAGGGGAACCACTCTGAGACAAGCCTTCAGTTGTTGACCTGAAAAAGTCACAAGGTGGTCCTCTGTGTCACATCCTTGCATACTTTTTTTTTATTGCCCATGTCTGCTCTTTGCTTTGATAGAAGGCACTCCTAGCCCCTGTTCTGGGGTCCTGTGGAACTCATTTGACCTTCTGCCTAAGCTCCAAAGTCTGGCACAGCCCATCTCCCTTTTTTCTAGGAACCCTCATTCTCCCTGTCCATTGGAAATTTACCACGTGTTTTCTCATTTTTACCAAGTGTGGTGCTAACTTGGACTTATCTTAGGTTCAGTATCCATATGGATCACAGAATTAAAGCCAGAATGTAGAAGCTGCCCTGAAGATGTGGAATGGACCTCGCTGGCTTGCTGTCCTTAAGAATCTGGATCCAACATACTGCATACATAGCCTGTGAATTTTGTTACTTATTTAATGAATAGGACAGGGAAACAGTACTTTCTCATAACTTTGTATGTAGGTCAGTAAATAAGCTGGGCAAGGGAAGATTTCTACAGCAGATACCATTCTGGTGATGAATTTAACATGTAGGCTTTAAAAAGAAACTAGCTACAAAGCATGCTGCTTGTGTTATTTCTCCCGCTTTTGGGCAAGAACTGGGGAACTTGCACCTCCTGATCTTGTTTGGCTTTCTAACTATTTAGCTTTCTAATTATATCTAACTATTGGCCAATAAGATCCAATAACATGTGAATGAGACAGTAAAATAGAATAGTATTCAAAAGTAAACCCCCTTAAGGACAATGGGGCTTAATTCCAAGGAAGAAGGTTAGAATGGCCACCTTGGTTTTCCATCTTCTTTTTCTTTCCCTTCTCTGACAAGAGAATTGCAATACTTTTCAGGATAAGCAATGAAAACCCATTCACTTACAAATCTCCAATGTAAAGGTTAGGCCACACTTCATTGACATTGCCCCGGCAGGGAACTGGTGTCCATAGCATGCGCTGCAGCTCTCCCAGTTCTGGCGTTTGATAGCTCTGCTGGCTGCTGAAGGAGCATCTTGACGTTCTTTGTATTCTGGGGCGCCGCAAGTCATCTGCGTTTAGTGAATACCAAGACATTCTGAAAGACACTGGAAAGAATCAGTGCTTTATGGAGATCAGTGTGGTGCAGTGGGGGTAAACGCTAGACATAAATGGTAGGAGACATGATAAGGAATAGTCTTCGGGGACAGATACCCACTTTCTGTTTGCCTCATTGCAAGTATGGGGCACTTACCACTTCTTGAATGCAGGAACCAATGATGTTGCCCTCTACCTATTCCAGACCATCACAGATCCACCCCTTGTCCATGTTCTGAAGTTCTGCTTCAAAACTGCCGTTTTCTCACTGCAGCCCTCTTAAGCCCTTCTGAGTGGATGGTTTGCAGCACTGCCTTCTAATCTACTGACAGTCCTAGATTTGATTGTTACAATGCTTGGCACATCTTGTCCCCACGCCTCCAGGAGCAGGTCACTGCTCAGTGCGACAATGTCCTCTGTGCTTCTGGGCTGTTGTGTTACGGTGGGCAGCTGCCATTTGTAATTATCTGGCCATTGATCCAGCAATGATTCATTAGGTCCATGAACTTTATCATCTGGTGTTTTCACATTCTCTCTTGATGATGAGTGCTGTGTTCAAGTCTTTTGCATTCTGGTCAATCTTTCCCACTCCCTGCTCACAGTACTGCAAAGTTTCCCTTCCCTTCCTAGATCTTTAGGTAGCAACATAGGCCCTTTGCCTCTATAAAGCTGGAGCGTCAGTTCTTCCTTACAATGAAGTTTCCATGGACCTACAGTGTAATTTAGGAAAGGGCCACCTGTTCTGTGTTGCTTTGATTATTGTAGCATCAGACAAAAATGGTGCCATAAGGGGAAAAAAGAAAAAAGAGACGGTCTGCCTTAATGTCAAAAGAGAGAGAGTGGGAAGGGGATGTGAAGGTAATGCAAATCTCTATAAGGAAAGGCCTGTCTTTTCTGCATGGATGGGAAGGGCAAGAAGCAGGGAATCACCATCAGGTACTTTGGTGCTGTAGTCCAGGAACTGCCCTGAAATGAACCAACAGAACTTGATCTAGATAAGATGAATGCCTATTTGAGCAAACCATATTCTCCATGAAGCATACAAGTGGGAGCAGGGGCTAGGAGTGCTTCTAACAAGTTCTACATTCTTGATGCAATTCTAGGCAACCTTCAGTGGTTGCTAGTTGGTTCAAAACAGATACACTTGACTTTCAACAAAAAGTATCCAACTTGAAAAATAGAGGGCAGTTCTACCCCACCATTGCTCCTCCTTTGCTTTTCCTCAAAGCAATTGATCCATGATAATCTTCACTGCTGCTGACTTCAGAATACTGAGGATTGGAGAGGATGCTAATTTCATTTGACAGTGGGAACATGCAAAGAGTATTCAACTAATACCTCCCCATCCACCTTTTAGCACATATTTGACTAGGAAATAATTTGCCTAGTGATTTCTAAAACAAAAGAAAGGAAAACCAAGCATTTTTCATGAAGGGGACATGCAAAACTGCCAAGGCAACATTTCCCACTTGTGTTGATGACATTTTTTGAAATGGAAGCCTCTTGGCAGCTGAATCTCTACATGGAGACAGGAGACAGAACCCAAGTTCTGTAAGGTGAGATGAGGCAAGTTCCCATCAATGGGGTTCTACTTACTCACAACATTATAATTTCCTCTAGAACACCTACAATATGAAGAACAGAAGATTAAGGAAAGAAGCTCTTGAACAATAGCTAGCATTCCACTTCCACTTTCATTATACAGTGAATTGATGCAGCCAGGATTAATTGCATTTTCTTTCATGTCACAAGCATGGGTATAGTGTCTATACTGTGAAATATGCCTGATCCAGGGTTATCTGTTAGTTTTATAAGAGCTTCACTGTCCTGACTTCCTGAGAACCTGGTGAGAGGACTAAATATTGTCCATGAAGCCGTGCCCAGTTGCTCTTCATAAAGGAGCGTCCTCATTGTTAGACACACTGAGGCAGCCTCTTCATCAGCAGATGACAGCAAGGTGTGCTGTGTGGCCAGACCTCTGCCAAAATGGTAACCAGGTGCCCTCACATCTGATGGAGTATGCTCCTGTGTTGTCCATGGACTACCCACTTCACCTTCAAATCTGGTTAATTTCTGGGATGGGATGGCAGGATTATTGTTTTGACTTTTGTCTCAGGACCAGAATGTCTTGGCTGCTCCTGCATGGAATCACCTTCCAGGATTCCTTGATGTGGTAGGTTAATATAGGTGTGTGTGTGGGGGGGGGGATGTTGTCAAAAAATGAAGGTGGTGGCCATGACTTCACAACTAAAACTCTGCCTCTTTTTTACATGCATAGCATTTCAATCATGTAGTCACAGCTGTCATATCATTACACAGCTGCCAACTTTACTTTTCGAATCCCCCTCCCATGGATGGCCTGAATACAAAGACTGGGGTGGGTGGGAAGTGGGAGGCAGTGGTAAATAAATATTAAATTGACCTACACACTTTGGATATGCTGTCCTTTTTCAAGGACTTCAGTTCCCAAACCGAGTTTGTAACTTGCACATGTAAGAGAAGAAGACACAGAAGCTACAATCTGGTTTTAATATTTGAACCCTCAAAACAGTAACACCAGCCACAACATCCTTCCAAATTAAATAGAATGGAGATAAGTTTGTTGGCCCATCCAGTGCTTTTAATACAAGTTTTCATCTAAAAATCAACCCTGTCCACACACCCTGCTTGTGTTTGACCATCTCCTGTGCTGCACTTGCTTTCTGGAAGTAATGCCCTAAAAGCCGGCTATTCCCGCATGATGGGCATTGTACAATTCAAGCTAGTGTTTTGGGCAGTTGTCCTTATTCTAAACTGTCACCAATCCAGCAGCAAGGCAGGCAGATTTTCCATGGCACTGGTATTGCTGAGAACAATAGCGTGTTCTTGTTGTTGCTCTTGTTGAGGGGTATATTTTTCCTTCCGTAGTTACAAATGTTATGCACTACCATAGCAACATGCATGCGTGTGATTGAGTGTGTGCGTCTGTGTGATGAATGAGTGAGAAGACCTTTAGCGTAGTCCTTGCCTATCATATGTTTATTATCAGTGCTTGCTAGACCCATAATCCCTTAATAACAAGCACTGTTACATTATCAAGAGCCGCAAAGCTTGATGTAAAAGTCATCTCCAGGGCTTTCAAATGCCAGGAGTGGAGTCCAGGTCTTCCAGGGTCAATGATGCTATCAACATCTGCAAGGTCCTCATCTGGAGGAAGACAAAGCCCCAGGGCCTGTGCTTGCTCTTGGCAGGCGAAGTAATGGAGGAACCGGAGGCAGCGAATGCACTCCCAACTCTTCCCCTTCTGCCTTTTCTTAGAAGGAAGTGAAACATTTGGCACAGCCATGGTTGCAAGATGGGACCTGGGAACGCAAGCCGCAGCAGAATTGCCAGGTGAATTTCATTCAGGTTTCAATCCACTGAGATACAAAGGTCAGTCAAAGTTACTGCTGAAAGTTTAGCCAAAGTTTAATTAGAGACAGTTCAGGGGAAAGTCTGAGAGATGTTGGAATCTCAAGGATTTGTTCCTCCAGTGCAAATCTACTGTGAAAACTGGAGGTGATGTGTTTTTAACAGCCAAAAATCACATTGACGAGAGATACCAAACTCTTAGTTTGCTCACAGTTCACTCCTCTCTTCTCCAACTGTTAAAACAGTTAAAATGTTTTAATCCCCCAGGTTCAAAATTCTCTTTTTCAGTCATATAATAATTATACTTTAGGAGGAGCTACTGTGTAGGACAGCGTTTCTCAGCCTTAGCAACTTTGAGATGCTTGGACTTCAATTCCCAGAATTCATGGCTGCCTGGGGAATTCTGGGAGTTGAAGTCCAGACATCTCAAAGTTGCCAAAGTAGAGAAACACTGGTGTAGGAAGTAGGACTTCAGTGACACTGACTCTTCAGGACTTTGTAAACTACTGACCACAAAAGACATGAGGTGCACGTAGTTAGGGGCTTATTCTGGATTAACCATTAAGCAAAATAAACTCATGCTTAGGGCACCAAAGGGAAGGGGGGGCCCCAGAGTTTTTTCCCTTAGCTATCATGCCCTTAATTTATTTTGCCTTATAATCTTTGGGAGGCAGATTAAAAATAGTTTTCAATAATTTTTTATATTTGCTTTTTCCCTTACAATGTAACAATTGTATTAAAAAATGCATTAAAAAGTGTTGAAAATTTGCATTTTTTTCTGTTGCCCTAGTTAGAAGTAAATAATTTGCTTATATTGCTTACCGCTATTTAGTGTTGAATATTTTTTTTAAAGTTTATATTTAATATAGTTGTGGGCTCTGGCCTGGGGAATGGCCTGGAAGAAAACTGAATTTTTAATCTCTTATTTCACCGTCAGCACTTACTGAGTCTTGATGTTTTATCAGTTAAGCAATGGAAGGGCTGAGGGGCATCGGTTGGCCTTGATCCAGCCTTGCTTCTTTGTCTTCTATTCTGACTGCACCTAAGGATACTCCCTTCCATCCAGGCCTGGGGCACTGTGCCTCTGTGGTCATTCTGACCATGCCTGTGAGAGAAAGAGACTGGACACCCTACTTCTCCTTTGAGAAGGATAGATATGGAATATCAATGTCATGGAAGAAAGAATGTGGGTCTTCCAAGAGATTGCTATTTCCACTGGCAACCAAAAAAGGATTTGGTGTCCCACGAAGACACCAGAGAACCCACATGGCAAACTCCCTCCCCTATCAGTGCGCCCCTTGCCAGAGTTGAATCTTTCCATCCAGTGAAACCACTTCAGGAAGGCCTTTTAAGAGTTTCTCCTCTCTTTGAAGTGAGTGGGACATGAACTTAACAACAGACCTTCCCTGTGGCAGCCCCCACATTTTGGTGCTCCTTAATCCTAGAGGTTGGTGAAGCTCCTTCTCTCTTGGTTCTTAGGAGGTCTTTAAAGATACTTTTATTTCACCAGACCTTTAACCATGTTTCATTGGCCTCCATCTTGGGCAGATTGATTTAAGGTTGCTGATTTATTATTACTGGTTTTATTATTTTGATTTATTATATTGTTGCATTTATGATT